ACACACACACACACACACACACACACACACACACACACACACACACACACACACGAGCGATTGCATGACCTCCGTTTGCGCGGAGGTAATAATAGTCAAATGTCCCGCAGACGTTGATGTCGCGCTCGTCGCACCACCGCCATCGTTAAACGTTCAACCTTCCGACAAATTCGATCGATAAACTCGCTCAAAAAAGGAACGGGGAGTTCTCGACACACATTAGAGATTGACGTGGTTGTAGACGCGCTAGGCTCGGCAGACAATAACTGAGTAAATGGAACCCCGTCGATGTCGATCCTGATGAAAGGGGCGAAAGGAGAAGAGTCGCGGAAGGTTAGAGCGTGTTATTTATTCAGAGGGACACAGCCTGTGCGAAACATTTTATGTGCATCCAGCTGTTTCTCCTCCGAGCGGACACGCGATGATGCTGCCACCCTGCGAGCGGCAACAACTTTTCTGCTTCGAACTGAAATGGGGTTTAGTCAGAGCGCATACAGTTTTTTTTAATCAATAAATCGCATGTATTTTCGACGAAAACAGCTCGGTCGTGTCGCGGCTGTACACCCGGCTGGCTGCGTTACATGGAAGTACGCCTGGGAAATCATACACACTTACGCGCGCGCACACACACACGCACGCACGCACGCACACACACACACATACACACACACACTCACACAACGCGCGCGCACACACTCACGCACGCACGCACGCACGCACGCACACACACACACACACACCACAAACATCACCACCACGAGCACAGCATATCCCAACCTTCCCTGGGGATCCAGAAGAGACCGAATACTAGAGGCGCCCGCATAGGAGGCGTTGATCGCTGACCGCTGAGCGCAGATATTGCGCGCAGTACCGCGGCAAGACGCGGTGTTGCCACAGCACTAGATCTGCGCATGCGTACACCATGCACAAAACACACATAACACAGATCGGAGGAACGGCTGTGACGGTGGACAGATCTCGGTCATAACTCCCTCATTAGTGTTTAGAATCGGGAAATAACATCGAGGGTATAACGGGATAGCGCTCGCTCTCAAACAGCTACAGACTGCACCTCCCTGTGTGAAAATTGGCCTGGCATTCATTGCACAAGCGACTCATACTGGCTAGCTGACTGGCATCGTTTCGACATCGCCCTAAGTAGTGTAATCTGCGGCCAGCTTTGTGACGGATGCAGTCGGTGATCGTTTCAATTTCAGAGAATATCGATCTCGTGACGATCATGTATCGGAACGTTTCACCGTGACTCCGCCGCGCCGCGCTTTATGTCAGTTTCTGTCAGTCACTGACGGAGCTCGTGCGAGTATTGATCTAAAACACTCCTGTCATCCTGCTAAACACCCCGGACCTCACTGTGACAGCGGTCCGACCCGCTAAAGTGAACCAAGAGCGTTGAACACATTTCAATCGTTTGCGCGCGCGAGCGTGACTAGCGGACGATTTCCGGCTGACCCCCTCCTGACCTTCACGTTAGGCTCATTAACCTTCAATCAGCT